AAGGTTTTGTCATCATCAGGTACCTGATGTGGTTCTTGTACCTGATGATGACAAAACCTTGTCAAAACGTTGTACATTTGCTGTTATATTAAAGTTTTTCTTCATTACCCATTCAAGCCATCTCCAGCCATTATAAAGTAGGTGTTGTTGACCAGTTTTTCTGCCATAAGAGAACATGAGTCTAAAGAGGACACAGGAATGTGTCAAAACTAGTTTATTCAACGTCAAGACTTCTGACGGTTTGTTAACTTTTACTGTGGTTTTTCACTAAAATATAATAATGTTTCAATATTTGACTCCATGAGTACAAAACTTGCAGGATTTGTTTGTGGTGATTAGAGAATTCTGACACAACATTAAAAGTTCACAAAGTACTCTTTAATTAGAAGTTATTAACAAGTTTATTATTCCAATAAGTCCTTTCAGTGTAAATAAGAATAACGTTTTTTATTGTTGATGGATTTTGTTACTGTACTTTTCCACCATAGTTCTCAAATAAACTATTTGTGATTAATATTAAATATATTTAAAAAATATACAGAATGTGCACTAATATTGAAGATTGTTTATTAAGCATGATTGAGGGATGAGTTTATTCTACATTAAATGTTATGAAGGTATTTACTTGTTTATGATAAAACAGAAACAAAACACTATGCACACAATAATGTATGCTATGATTCAGGGGCAGAACTAGTGCAGGGCAGACGGGGCAATACTCTGGTCTTCTGAAAAAAGGGCCCCCCGATCATTTCTTTGCCCCGGTGCACCTGAACTGTTTGTTCTACCACTGCTATGATTAGATGCTATGTGGTACTTGTAACTCACAAGAATGGATACATTACCTTAGAAAGACTACAGATTGGCTTACTAATTACTTACCTTTTTAATAGGCCCGGCATGGTCAGGTGGATAAGGCGCTCGACTCACAATCTGAGGGTCGCGGGTTCGAATCCTCGTCACACCAAACATGCTCGCCCTTTCACCCGTGGGGGCGTTATAATGTGACAGTCAATCCCACTATTCGTTGGTAAAAGAGTAGCCCAAGAGTTGGCGGTGGGTGGTGATGACTAGCTGCCTTCCCTCTAGTCTTACACTGCTAAATTAGGGACGGCTAGCGCAGATAGCCCTCGTGTAGCTTTGCGCGAAATTCAAAAACAAAAACAAACAAACCTTTTTAATAACTTGTTATTTGCCAGCTTACTTCAAGCCTTAGGGATTTCTGTGATGTTGCAAGAAATAGTTTCTACTTTTATATGTAGTCTCAGGTTTCAAGTATGAAGTACAAAGACATTCCATGTAATTCTTAGAATAATCATAAGCATGCATGTAATTCCTTATTCACTGGCTTTTCTCTAGATTAAAATACTTTTATTTGCAAGCTTTCAGCCCTGTTACTGGAGTCTTCATCGGACAACCTACGTTCTGAGTCTTAAAAAACAATTCCTTAGTATTTGTACTGGTACGAAAAAAGACAAGGGTAATTGAATTATTATCCCAAGAAAATAAGGATGTCAAGTTACAAAACTTGATAAATGAAAAGAAAAAACGAGTCCATAAAAGTAACCCTAGTTATGAAATGAAAATTTTGTGTATTTCGTCAAGTGATTTATATGAACTTCATGATATAGTGGAAATATAGAAGCCTTGGTCTGTAATTCATGCTTGTACACCCTTTGTTTAAAAAGATTCAGTGAAGACTTGGTTTGGGTTATATTATTTTCTCGTCATTAAATGTTTTAGTTTATTTATAACTGTTATATTGCTTCATTGTACATATTCACTGTTTAATACTTAGATGACAAAGTCTGATTTTTGCACACGGAACATCATTTTAAGGATGTAATTATAAAATTTAATGATGTAATTACCCTGTTAATTTTAATTTCTTCTCTTAATTGTCATATGACTTTATTTATCTAAATGTGTATATGTTTTGTTGAGTGGGTATTTTTTTAAATCTTGGGAGTTATGCTTCATTATGG